AGTGCTGAAGAATTTGCAGTTGTGTTTTGAAACCAGCACATTTTCCCTCTGGGTGGGGGAGGTGGGCTGGTGGCCCGGGGATGCACCCCTTGGCTGTCACCCACGGTGCAGCGCTCTGAGCATAGCCTCGTGCAAGCGGAGCACCCACGAGTTGTGAGATGCTGCCCTGTGGTCTGTTCGCCAGCACCACTCTCCCCACCTGTGCGGTGGGCCCATCTGGTCCCTGAGCATCGGCCTTCTCCCCTATGGGGTTGGGGTGACCTGGCCCCTCTGCCTCAGTCTCCCCTGTGGGGTGGGGAGAACTGGCCCCCAAGTCTCAGCCTCTCTGTCTGTGGGGTGGAAGGAGCTGGCAGGCAGCAGGTCCAGGATCCAAACCCAGTCCTTTCTGCCCTAGAGCCTACATCGGCACCCGCCCCTCAAAACACTGCCAGCATCTTCTGCCCCATGGTCCTAGGGGTTTAAATAGAGCTCAGAATTTAATTTATACCTACATTTTTATCTTAATCAAACCAAGCTCTTGGTCATCTGCTCTGGCTTCACAGGGACCAGAGCCATCTTTTATCCTGTTGCCGGCTGCTGCCACGGCGCAGGTCTGTAGGGTCCATGCAGGGCCCTGGGGAGCCGAGCCAGTCCCAGCCCTTCCTCTTCAAGGTCCAGGTTACACAACCAGCAGGAACATCCCTGAAGCAGGGATGAGGAAGGACCTGGTGGGGGGCTCCCCTCCCTCTGTGCGCCCCGGCCTGCAACAGGGGCTCACTGACCACCCCTCGAGGTAACCAGAGGATGCCGGAGTGAGAGTAGGGGCAGCCCCTCTCTCTCCCCTCACCCCGACAGGCCCCACCTCTCACTCTGGTTAAGGAGCAGGTTGTTGGAAATCAGCCCCCTTCCCGCTTTGTGCAGGCCCATTATCTGGCAAATGGGTAATTTTGGGTCATTATTGACTAATTCCTGAAGCGCACTATTGGAGTGCTTAGCGACTTGGTGCTTGTCCAGTGCGCCGGCCTGTTATTCACCAGCGGCTCTGGGGTCCTTTCTGCTACGCAGCCAACTTCAGCAGGCCCCAAAATATCCGCTGGGGAAATTATAATGCAGCCTTTGTGTACACGCCTTCTCCCACCAAGCTGGGTAAATTGATGCCGCAGTGGAGGACTGATGCACTTATTTGGAATGAGAATAAGGCTGACCTGTAGAATCATCTAGAAGGAAAAAGTAGGGTCTTAGTAAAACTCCATAATTAGGTACTGCTCTGTGCCATCAAGTCCGGCCATTATGGTGAGTCAAATACAGCCTGTCCACAGAGTGAGGCCAGGTACACAGCTGGCATCTTAATAGTGCCTCTTTCTGTAGGCCAAGGCCTTAGAAAACCACAGAGTGGATATGGACTGGCTGTCTACCCAGAGTCCACCCCGTCTTCCTTCTCCCAATAGCAGCTACATCTTTCTGGGAACCTCCCCTCCACCACGCAGACCTGGGGTGGGAGGGACTGGCCCTGCCCCCAGCTCAGGGTGGGCTCTGGCAAGGATCCCCTCCGTGATTGGTCAGCACAGGGCACATGACCCAGACCTACACCAATCATCACAAGGCATCCACTCTCTCCTGCAGCGATTGGTCTGGAGATGATCCAATCAGGGTGTGCCTAGGAATTTGAGCCAGTGCTTGGTCAGGCCCAGCAAGGCGGGCTACCTGATGATTTTGCCCAGTTCAAAATGAAAATGCAGAGCCTCCTGTGTAAAAAGCAAGAATAAAGTGCCATTAAAGGCACTCAAAGATAAAACTTGTTCTTTATTTCCTCGTTTTCTCTCTGGACCCCTTGTAGTATTTTTTAACTTTCACTTTAATATTGTTCTAAGTAAAGAAAAAAATCTAAATTCAAATTATTAGCATGAATTTCCCCTTCACCTTTATACCCTGTGATGTTGGTTTTAAATGCACATATAAGAGTGTCACACTCAAGTGCGGAATTGCAGAGGTTACACAGTTTGTATTTTATAGCTCACACCCACATATGTCTTTTGTTCTTATAAGACAAAACTAAATCAACTGTTTTTATTTTACTCCTCAGTATGCTCACAGTCTAGACTCTCGACCTGCCACGTACCGGTGGGTAAGGAAGGACTTTTCCTTTCCTTCTGTGTCATAATTTTCAGCACAAATGACTGGCTCACACAGGGAAGTTACATGGGTAAGAAAGAATGTGATATGGTTCTGTTATGGGCTGAGCTGTGCCCCACTCCTCCACATTCCCCTAATTCCCAAGACCTCAGCTTGCGACTGTATTTGGAGATATGGACTTTAAGGAGGTAATTATGTAAAAATGAGGTCTTCGGGGTGGGCCCTAACCCCACAGGACTAGAGTCCTTTTAAAATGAGATTAGGATGCAGACACACACACAGGCCTGACCACGTGAGGACACAGGGAGAAGGTGGCTGTCTACTAGCCAAGGAGGGAGGCCTCGGGAGGAACCAGCCCTGGGACACCTTCATCTTGGACTTCCAGCCTCCGGAATGTGAGACAATAAATGTCTGCTGTGTGAGGCCCTCGGTAAGTGGCGTTTTATTGCAGCGGCTCAAACTAAGACAGATTTCTTTGTTGTTCCTGTTCTTAGCAGGCCCTTGTCTTCCCTTTGCATTTGAGGTAAGTTCTGGCTTAAGTGGAAACCGAGTTCTCTGGGCCGTGCCACGCTCACTCATTTGTGGACACAGGACTCTGACCTGCACTCTCTTTGAGCCTAGCATAGCTCCCAGGCATTGTGGGAGAGTTCTGTGCTCATAGGGGGGTCACAAACACTGCAGGGGGACAGTACGGGATGGTGCACACACAAACTGCTCCAGTCTCCGGTCACAGAGAAGCTCCACCATCCCACGGACTTCAGTTATAACACACCAAGTTCAAAGATACATTACTAAGAATGTTAAGATGGCAACAGCAGGACATTAAACCAAGACTGGGCCCTTCTAAGCATGGGCCCTGTGTGACAACAAGGGTTGCGCACGCTTGAAGTTGGGTATAAGAAAGGAAGTGCAGGCCGGGCGCAGTGGCTCTTGCCTGTAATCCTAACGCTCTGAGAGGCCAAGGTGGGAGGATCGCCTGAGCTCAGGAGTTCGAGACCAGCCTGAGCAAGAGCGAGATCCCATCTCTACTAAAGAATAAAAAGATTTGCCGGGCATCATGGCATGCACCAGTAGTCCCAGCTACTTGGGAAGCTGAGGCAGGAGGATCGCTTGAGCCCAGGAGTCTGAGGTTACAGGGAGCTATGATGATGCCATGGCACTCCAGCCTGGACGACAGAGCAAGACTGTCTCAAAAAAAAAAAAATAATAATAATAATAATAATAAATAAAAAGGCTAGAAAAAAAGGAAGGAAGTGCAGAAACTCAGCTGTCACCTTGTGCCCAGGGAGGAAGGTCCCCAGATCAAGGACAGAGCTGAGAAGCAGAGTGGGCAGAGCTGGGGGAATCCAAGGGAAGGGTTAATAGGGTGCAGAGTGACACCTCCCCCTCCAGCGCCCTGCTCTGTGCTTCCAGCCACAAAAGCCACCATCTCTGAAGCCCTCTGAGTTGGGTCTCATGCTCTTTGCAGTAGGAGTCTCAAAGGACTGACCTGGTTGCTGGGCCTCAGTCTCCCCGTCTGCGCTGTCGGGTAGTGCCTGCCTGACAGTGTAGAAGTGCTTTGTGAACAGCCAAAATGCACAACAAAAACGTCAGGAATTATTGTGCATATATATATATATAATATATAAATATATGGACATCTCTTTATCAGATTGTCACTATGATCATAGTCCAAATAAGCAGGGAAAGGCACTACATAAAACAACTCTTCTTTTCACCTGCAAGCATCTGTTTCGACTTCACGGGAAGGCCTTCTTACGAATTCCGTGCCGGCTGTTCTGCACGTTGCTCGCCCTGCGTGATGTGCCTGGAGACCCCACAGGTGCCAGAAAGGCTCTGTGATCCGGGCCCTGGCATCCCAGATCAAAGATTCTTGTCAATGTCTTGGAATCCATGGTACCCTGGGCAGTTTCCCTTTAAGGATCTGAAACCAAAAGGCCAAGACAGTTGTACTAGTTTTCTGGGGCTTTATGCCACACATGGGTGAGTTAAAACAACAGAAATGCATTCTCCCTCAGTTCGGGGGCCTGCGGTCTGCAGTCAACGGTTGGCTCCTGCTTGCGGCTCAGAGGGGGAGTCTGTCCCCTGCCTTTCTCCCAGCTTCTGGTGGTGGCCAGCAGCCCTGGCATTGCCCGACTTGTAGATGCGTCACTCCGGTCTCTGCCTCCGTCCTCACATGGCCTTCCCGTGTCTCTGTGTGTTCTCCTCTTCTGTCTCTCATTTGGACACTGGCCCAGGGTGGTGATCCAGGGCAATCTCATCTTGACATCCTTAATTACACCTGCAGAAACCTTTTCCCCAGATAAGGTCACATTCACAGGTTCCAGGGGTAGGACACGGACATATCTTTTGTGGCGGGGACACACTTCAGCCCCCCACAGCAGTGAATCGCTGATCGCCCTCGCTGAGCCCTGCGAGGAGGACTCAGCTGCACCCCCAAACCCACTCTGGCCCGGCCCCCATCTCGGCCACGGGCCGTGCCGGGCACTCTCGAGCAAGGTGCCAGGCTGCTCCCGGGCCGCAGCAGGAACAGCGGCTCTGCGTCTCTCCAGCCGGAGCCTGCTGGGTAACGATGCTCATACGGCACCCCCCAAAAATCGATGCCAGGCCCAGAAAGGCCCTCCTTCTCCCTGTGCCTTTTCCAGTGCTGCTCAGCAGCCCTCAAGCTCTCAAAGACGCTGCTCAGCAGCAGTGAGGCTGCAGAACGGTTTCTCAATCAGCGCTACGGACTTTTGGGGCCAGATAATGCTTTGTAGGGGGTACCCGGGGTGTGATAGGAGGCTCAGCAGCATCCCGGGCCCACTGACACACTCAATGCCGGTGACAACACCCAATTGTGACAATGGAAGACATCTCCTGATAACGCCCAGTCCCCTGGAGGACAGAGACAGCCCCGTTGAGAATCACAGCTGCAAGGAACGCTGGAAACAGCCCAACATCCTGGACTCTCGAGGGGTCTGCACTGACCTTCTGTGGGACCTTGTGCCTGTTCTGGAACTTTCTGAGCCTTGGGTTTCCTAACAGGGATATGAATACTCTTTGGGTTTATTGGGATGGTAAGTAATAGGTACTGAGTATCAAAAGGCTGTCACAAAGAAAGGCGGTACTCCCTCCAGTAGATGCTATTACGGGCTTTGTTTTTGTTTGTTTTCCAAAGCAGGGCCGGCGTGTACCATCTCCGTGTGCCCGGGGCCAGGCACACAGCAGGAGTTAGCTGGGTGAGCATCTCCCGTGTTCATGGGCCTCTCTGGCCCAGAGCCTCCGTTCCCAGCCTTCTGGTGGCTGCCCCCTCGCTCCAGCCTTTGGGATTTATGATCTTCCTTTGTCCACACGGTGGGACTTGAAAGGGACTAAAGAAAGCTGAGACCCTGTGAGGGGGCTAGAGGTCTCTTCCAACCCTCAGGCTGCCTGGGCCCCCTCCCTAAACCTGCTCCCAATTCTCATTTTGAGAAGCTACTTCTGGAATGTCATGAGCTGGCTGGGAGCCACTCCCATCCTGGGAACTGGCCTCGACCCAATCCACACCCTGGTGGGAAGAAGGCCTTCTCTGACCAGGCCATTCAAGATGACGCTGGCCTCGAGCCACACACATCTTAAATGCCCTTGTGCCATGCCACGGTCCGTGGGGCACTGTGGATCTGTGCCACCAGTCGTTCACTCTGCCCTGGGTCAAAAAAAAGGAATATAAAATTGCACTGGATTTAAGGATTGCTTAAAACAAAAAATCCACTGCATTGATACGTGATGGGTATTTTCTTCTTTAAAATTTTCTTGGTTTTCCTACTTGCTGTTTTCAGCGAGCATCGTGAACTACAAATAAAATTCTAAGCCCACAGCTGACGGAATGGACCCCCTCCAGGCCACGGGAACCCCAGAGAAACTTTAAAACTGATTTCCTGGCCATGATGGGAGGGAAGGTTGGACACACCTAGTCACACCCCTCCCTTTTGGGGGTGTAGGCACAACAACTGACCAGCATTCATGTTACAACAGAGCTCATAAGACTGACAGAGGGACCCTTTGTGGCATAAGATACCGAATTACAAACAGGACCCAATGCCAGCAGGAGTCAGGTCACGCACCCCTGCCCTTCAAGAATGCCCTGCATTCTAACTGCCCCGGGGTTTTTCTTTTTCTCTAGCTGCTAAACATGCCGGCCTCGAGGCAAGCAAGGTTAAAACAAGGGCAGCTCATCTACTGCCGCAGACCCTCCCCGCCTGCTCCACGAGCCAAAACTCCAGTTGGACAAGAGACTGACTTCAGGAACTTTCTCTTGGTAAGACCACCCACTGGCCACAGACTGATTCTGGCCAGTTTTAGAGAGTAGGCACACTTGAGTGTCTTTGTGTCCTGAACAGACCTTTGGCCTAATTGTCATACATTTAAATGTTAAGTCTCCACCCCAGATTGGACAGGGGTCATATGTAACATGCATGTTTGTTCACTATGCATGCATCAGGGCCATCTTCATAAATATTCATAGCCCCTCCTATAACCTGTTGAATATGCATACCTGGCCAATCCATTTAGTATAAACCCCTGTCCCAGCCCCTCCTCCTTAGAGAGAACAGTAACCCAATACACTGTTACTAGTATTGCTTTAAGGAAACAGTTATCTCTTGGGTCAATTAAAAATAAGAAAAATAAAAGATTTTATTTTACTTTCACTTATTCCTTCTTTGATGCTCTTCCTTTCTTTTTGTAGACCCACATTTTTAATGATACCATTTTCCTTCTGCCCGAAGACCTTCTTCGAAGCATTTCTCGTGCGGCAGGTCTGCGGTCTGCTGAGGATAAATTCCTTCATGTCCCCCCCCCATCCCCTTTGAGAAAGTCTTTATTTTTCCTTTGCTTTTAAAGGATAATTTTTCTAGATATAGAATTCTTGTATTTTCGTGGTTTTTAAATTTCAACTTGAAATGGTTGACAGCACTCTCTTCTTGCTTGCATGGTTTCTGGTGAGAAGTCACTGTAAGTTTTATCCTCATTCCCCTATAGGAGGCAGGTCTCATTCCTCTGGCTTCTTCCAAGAACTTCTCTTTGTCTTTGGTTTTCTGCAGTTTTAACGTGATATGCGTGTGTGTGTGTATGTGTGCTCTGTGTGTGTGTGTGTATGGGTATTTATCATGTTTGGTGTTCTCTGAGCTTTCTGCCTATGTACTTAGTGTTTCTCAACAACTCTGGAAAGTTCTTTCCCATTATAATATTTCCCAGATATTTCTCTTCTCTATTCTTTCGTATTTTTCTAGTACTCCAGTTACATGTGTGTGATATCTTTGATATTGCCCTGCAGCTCTCCTATATTCTGTTCTTTTCAATCCTTTTTTCTCTTTGGATTTCATTTTGAGAAGTTTCTATTGCTCTATCTGCAAGCTCAGATTCTTTCCTGGGCTGTGTCAAGTGTGCTGATAAATCCAATGGAGGCATTTTCTTTTTTAATTATTATTACTATTTCTAGCACTTCTTTTTAGTTGGTTCTTAGAGTTCCCAGCGCTGTGTTTACATTACCCATCTGTTTTTGTATGTCATCTACTTTTTCCATTAGATCCTTTAACAGATTAATTATTGTTAAATTCCCTGGGTGATAATTCTAACACCTGTGTCATATTTGAGTTTTGCTCTGATAACTTCTTTGTCTCTTCAGACTGGGCTTTTTCATGCCTCATGGCCAATGCTACACCTCTGCTACTTTCCCTGAGAGAGCTGGTTGACCAGCCACACCTACCTGACACATATGTTAAGGAGCATGTTCTGAATATTAATATTTATAGAGCACTTGCATGCACAGAACCAGGCTTAGGAGGTTTAGTCTGAAGCCCACCTGCATTCTAGGAGGGAGGGACTAAGACTCAGCCAGACACAGGTGCTGACATGATTTATATTGTATTCTTTTCCAGTAAATCTGAAAATAAACAAAGAAATTTTTAAAACTCCAGCACCCTTTGCTTTGGGAGAATGAGTTTGCTGTCATCGCTTTTGTCTCCAACAACTTCAGAGAGAATTGTCACCGGTGTGGCAAATGTGAGGATGGCGCTAACTGGGTGGCCAGGCACTCACGTTACTCTCAGAAGCAGACACATCCTCCCAAATCGATCGTCTAACTTGACAACCATCACCCACATCAGACATGACCAATCTGTGTGACTGGGCTCACATGAAAACCAATTAAAAACTTCATAACCTTGAGGTCACTGCCTTGCTTCTAGCCCTGTCACTGTGATGAGTTTATATATTAGACTTGTAATTTCTTCCACAGTGGTTGCAATTTGCTGTAGCAGTCGGTCCACAGGTAAGAAAGGGGAGAGATGACCTTCCGTGGGCTCTGGGGCCAAAGACTCACCAGAAGCTGTCAACACAAGGAGCTGAAGGATGGCCCAGGTCACCCCGCCATGGTCCCACTGGACGACCAAGCAAGAGTGCCATGTCCTGAGCTTCCTGCACCCATAGCTGGCATCAAAATCCCAGGAAGTTGGTATGATTACTGCCCTTTTTCACAGAAACTGAAGCATAAGCACAGGTCACCTTAAGTAACCTGTTCAAGGTCACAGAGTAAGTGGTAAGTTGGGCTTTGACCCAAAACCCTGCACCCTTACCCATGGGAGGGGAGGAGAAGGTCTGAGGCTTCATTCCCTGGCAGCCCTGTGCTGGGGCGGAAGCCCGTGGTCCCTCTGATCATTGCCTGTCCTTGTCTCTTGCTGTATTTATCCCAGCTCCAGCCATACGGCGAGGAAACCAGTGCACCTGCGACCATCTGCAATGACACCACATCTGCAGCTGCTTAATCAGCCCCGGGATGGTCACTGCAGGAAGAAATGGGCTTCAGACTAAACCTCCTAAGCCTGGTTCTGTGCATGCAAGTGTTCTATAAATATTAATATTCAGAACATGCTCCTTAACATATGTTAAGACGTATGCGATAAAAGCTGATGATAATATTGCTAATTAAAGAATACCGGGTGCTCAGGACGAGACTGCACCAGTGCTGACCCTGTGAGTGCCTCTCACTAACATCTGCCACCTCTTCTTCCCATCTTAGCTCCAAGTCCCACATGGGCAGGGACCGCCATGTGTTCACTGTTGTTTCTCCAACACCTTCCCCTCTTATTCTACGAGGAGTTATCACAAGGCAGAGTAAGTGAGGAGAGACAAAATCATGAGGCACCCTTACACCCACGCTTGTGAGTGGTCATGCTGGGATTGGGGGGTTCGGCATTCCTTGTGCCTGCACCTCCCCTCTCCTACCCCGAGGCACCCCGCCTGCAGCAAACCCACAGCCTCTCTCAGCCTCAGCGTCCTTGTCTGCTGAGCTGGCCCAGTGACCCTCTGTTTGCAGAGTGGCTTACGTGAGATCACTGTGTAAGAGCCCGATTCGCACTCAGCACGTGGCAGCTCTCCATCATTGATCACGGGAAGGTTGGTGGGTACAGGGTAATCGTGTCCCTGCAGAAGGTTGAAGTGGAAGAGTGTGGGCTTCAAAGTTAGAATCCACCACTTTCCCACCTTGCCTGGGAAATGTCACTTAACCTCTATGCCTCAGTTTCCCTGTCTTTGAAGCAGAAATTGTGCCATCTCTTGGTCACGGGACACTCTATGAGCCAGGCTGAGTGCTGAGCTTGCTACACAGGTGTGTACTGATGCCCAGCTCCTGGGTCCTCCGCGGAGCCAGAGGTGACATCAGACACGGGCAGGCCTTGTGCCCAGGAAGCTCAGGGTGTAGCACTCTCACTTGGTCATCCAGTGGGACCATCGTGGGGTGACCCAGGGCATCCCAGGCCAGCTCTCTGTGTGGAAGGCCATCTCTCCCCTTTCTCACCTGCGTACTCACTGCTGCAGCAAATGGCAACCTCTCTGGGAGAAATCACAGTCTGAGATGCAAACTCATCGTAGTGACAGGGCCAGAAGCAAGGCGCTGACCTCGAGGTTATGAAGTTTTTAATTGGTTTTCATGTGAGCCCAGTCACACAGATTGGACACATCTGACATGGGCGACTGCTGTCGAGTTAGCAGATCGATTCCGGACGGTAGGTTTGCTTCTGAGCATAATTAGCTCCCACCTGCCTGGAGGGGACAATTCCTTGGCTAGAGAGGCTGACACTGAGCCCATTCTCCAATTGGAGCTCTGTCTCTGCTCCATCCAACGCCCTTGGCCTATCCCAGCTGCCCCCCCTCTCCCCCTGTTCCAGGTTCCTTACGGCAAGGCTTCCTGGAGGCAGGACCACTCACAGCTGCCACCTCCCAGGAAAGGCCCCAGGCCAGAGGTCTGAGACTAGAGCATAAACTTGAGTCATCCTGTGGAGGATTTTAAAGGACCTCCTGCTTCCGTGCCTGGATTGGCCTCTGTCGGACACCATCCGGGCAGCTTGAGGAGCAGTAGACATTGCTTTGTTTTTACCAACCGCTTCATCCGAATCCCAGGCCGGAGTGTGAGGAACATCACGGTCAGCAGCGGCTGCAGCAGGACGCAGGGCCGGCTCTGCTCACGACGGTGGGCCCTAATCCCACAGCACCAGGTCCTTATCAGAAGAGGAGGTTAGGACACAGCCATGCACAGGGGGACAAGCGTAAGAGGACACAGGGAGAAGGTGGCCATCTGCAAGCCAAGGAGAGAGGCCTCGGGAGACCCAGCCCTGCGACACTTTGGTCTCAGACTTCCAGCCTCCAGGACGGGAAGCCAATAAATGTCTGCTGTGTAAGCCACCCGTGTGTGGTGTTCTGTCACAGCAGGCCTGGCGAAGGAATGCAGAGGGATTGCAACTCTGTGCCCATTTTCCCAAGGCCCAGGGGCAGCCAGCCTGCGCCCGGACCCCACTGGACCAGGAAGGGACCAGGCACACAGGACACCAGGCTTTGGGGAGGCAGCTCTCAATCCATTAGGCCCGTCCTCATCTGTCCCCAGAATGAGCCTCGTCCTGGGACCTCTGCTGCCGGAGCCCCCCCCCAGCGCCTGCAGAGGGGTGGCGGGGGAGCCACAGGCTTCAGCCAGGGCCAGCTCCGCAGGAAGCTCCCCTCTTGCTGGGAGAGCTTGGCAAATTGAGTTCACGGAGCTGTGAAGGGCCAGGAAGGAGCCGTCTCCCTGCTGAGTGTGAGGCTGTTCTGGGTTTCAGCCCCATCAAATCGCAAATCCGCAGCACTGCCTGCCCAGGGCCCCTCAGAGGTGACAAGAGCACAGCCCACTCCTAGATTCCCCGCCACGCCAGAGGCTGGTTCCCCTTGGAGACCCAGACCCAGGGAGGAGCCGGCCACAGCACGAGTCCACGGCTCTCCCGCCATGTCCGACGTGGGCCCTGGGGAAAGGTCGCTGTGGCTTCTTAATGACTTGCTCCTTTATTAAAGCAAGGCTTGTCCTCCCGCGGGGCGCCCAGCAGGGCTCGGCTGCACTTTGGTCTGGGCTTCTGCTTGTCGAGATTATGAGGATGTGGGGCACCTGAGAAGCAGACGCAGTGGAGGGTCGTGGGCCGACTCAGGTGGCCGTCCTGCTTGTGGCCCAGTGACAACGCCCAAGAGGCAGTGAGCTGCCTGCCCAGCATGGCGTGTGCAAGCCCCGAGGCTTGGAGAAGTGTGACCACCTCTCAGTCCTGTGCAACTCCACAGTCCATGGGGTCGACGTGGATGTGGGCGTCTTGGGCACAAGCCACAGGATGGTGGCACCCTGCTTTCCTCTCCCAAACTACCGCATTTAGGGGTGGGGGCGTCTCCTTTAAGGGCTGGGGCCAAAGTGCAGATAGATGGTCACAGGTCCACCCCTTATTCCTGCTCTGGCTGGTCCATATGATGCAGGGAAACAGAAAACATCTGAGGACCCACCTGCGACATAGATTTGGCCTGTTTTTCCGGCCTCTGGCTTCCAAACTTGGAATGTCCCTGCCCCTGGTCCCTGCTCCCTGGTGGCTCAGTCAGCTCCAGGACCCAGACAAGAGCAGTGCAGACACAAAGCCAGCAGTGAGGCCTCCTCCCTGTCCCCAGGAGACTCAGTGCAACCTCCCCTCCACCTGGCACAGGTGGCACCTTGTAGAATTGCACCTATGTCCCCCAGGGCACCACTCCTGGGGCTGCATTTCTGCACCCAGCGAAGGGACAGCCTTGTGCCCTTGTGCATGTCAGGCTGGTCTCACCTGTTCCATCCTGACCATGGTGAACGAGGAACCGCCCAGGGCTCTGAACCTCAGCTCACCTCGGGGACAGGCGTCCACTGCAGACCCCACAGACCCCACTGCCCGGATGCATGACCTAGACCATGTTTCTGAGCCAGCGAGTGGCCGCAGCATCGCCAAATGCCCAGTCACTCCTCATCTCGCTGGCCCAGGAAGATGTCCTGGCCAGCCCCTCCGTGGTCGGCCCCCAGGACACCACGCCATCCTGGTCTCCCCCGTAGCCATCAAGGTGCCTCCCCTTCTTGCTTCCTCTTAAAGCCGAGCAGCCCGTTTGGACATGGCCTTTTCTCTAGATCTAAGGGCAGTTGCTTCCTGGCACTGTCACCCAGCCCGTGGCTCATTGCCCCCAGAGGTGGCCCCACACTCCCACTGTGCAGACCCGCCTGCCATCTCCACGGGACCTGGCTCAGCACCTGACCGACGCCCCTGTCCTGGGCGGTGGCACTTCCAACCGAGCAGTCAGTTGCTCAGGTGGAAACTCGCCACCCTCCCACTGTCACGCCCCAGCAAACGTGTCCGTGGACTCTGATAATTCTGCTGTGAAGGCGAACCCCAGTGTGAATGCTTCCTGGTCCCCCACTGCCACCTCACGCCACAGCTCACGTGTCACCTTCAGAACAAGGGGACCACTGTATTCAAACGTGGCATCTGCACCTGAACACTCACACTGGGTCCCCTGAGTGTCATCTCCTTTTGGCGGTGCAGCTATTCCTTGTTAACTTACCTACTGGTCGGGTAATAGCCCTACGTATCAGGGTTATTCGGACAGGGATCTTAGCCCCTGCGACCTCAATGTGCTCCAGACGCCTGGAAGAATGCCGGCATGTGGCAGGGCTGGATGGAAGTTTGTCGAGTGGTAGCTCCTCTGAGAGGGGTCGTCATGCATGACATAGCCTGCAGATTTGTGTTAATTACTTAAGCACTTCCAAAGTGCTACATGGAACTCTAAAATGACGACCACAGGTGAGCTGGCCTCTTGATTCTCTGGCTGCACAGTGTGGCCAGGAGCACGTCCCCACCCCTCCTCTTTCAGGTGTGCAGCCTAGTGTCTCAGTTCACCTCCCTCAAACGACCCTTCACCACCCCACGCTGACAGTTGGAGGGGGGCAGCTCCAGGTGCTGCAGCAGAGGGAGGAGGGCGAACCCCCGAAAGGACACACTGCTGACGGCGACATCTTATTGCCATGCACATACATCTCCATTCCACGCTTGCTCTGCTTCATAATGAAGTGCTTTTAAATCTGGAAAATGCTAATGAGAAATCTAATTTCCAAAACAGCCACCAATGGCCAAAGGAATATTGCATGTGTAAACAAAATGGAATATTTGATCGTGAAGCTGAGCACCACAGCATTGGAAACCATCGAAGATGGCAGGGTGGGGATTTTGCCTGTCCTCGGGCAGTCGGACATGATAACGCCCGCTCTGGATCTCTCACCGGTGCTGAGGGCGGAGCATGGAGGCAGCTTTTGCAGAGCAACTCCCCTGTCACCTGCCACCTCGCTCAGGCCAGAAGGAGGGATGTCCCCTCCCTGTTGCAGAGCCCCAGTGAGTCTCCCTGGGGAGGCAGGTGCAGTTCTCACCTGGGGAGGGAGCAGCGGCAGGTGAGGCACCTCGATGGTCTCCTTCCAAGGCTCTGCTACCTGCAGATTTCCTTCTCCTCCGTTTCCTCCCCCACCACCACCTGCTCCTGGCTTGCAGGGTCAGTCACAGGGGAGCGGTCACGGGCCAGGCCACCCCAGGCTCTCATTCCCTGAGCAAAGTCTGGTGGAGGTGGCCTGGGACCCCTCCCCCCCGCCACCTTCTGTCTACTCTTTATGCCAATGCAGATTTTCTTGTTCCTGGGAAGAGGGTCTTTATGCTAATGCAGATTTTCTCGTTCCTGGGAAGAGGGTCAGTTCCTTTCATCGGATTCTCAAGGGTTTCACGATCCTCAAAAGGCTCACACCTCTGATATAACTGTAGAGAAAAGCTGCTCCGGCTTTCAGGAAACTGAGGTACCCAGGGACCCGCAGGGGGCTGGCAGACATGGGCACCTAACGGGGCTCCTGGGTCCCTGGCGAGGGCTGGTGTCCTAGAACCAGGGCTCCCTGCGGCTGTCCCTCTCACCTGGATAGGGGCCTTCAGGAAAGGGCTGGGTGTGGCCAGAAAGGACAAACAGCAAGAGTGCCAGGACCTGCCACAGGGGACTGCAGGGACGGTCAGTCACCGGCAGTTGCTGCCTGGGGCACCTGAGGCGGGGAAGGGGAAGAACCCAAATCTCTGTGAAGGAACAGGCAGGTGGCAGCAGGGACGGAGCCTGGGTGCAGAGTTGGGGGCCAGCTTCCAGGCCAGCCCCGCACACCTGGGCAGGCCACCCCGCCCTGGTGGGGCTCTCCCCCTATAGAAGGAGGGGCGGGGCTCACTCGCCTGGCTGCCTCCTGCTTCCCGCCCTAACCCTGGAGGGGAGCCCTTTTCCTACAAGGGGCCGTAGGTGGGTCCCCAGCACCGCCCTTGGAGGCCTGCAGGTCCAAGGCTGTTGCTGGGTGGCTAGCAGATGAGAGGCCCTGCTTCTCTCCTGCCTGGTTTCAACTCAGCCTGGGGACACTGGAGCAGAGAGAGTGGCCTCTTCCCAGCCCACGCCCCGGGAGGCACTGGGTTCTGTGCACATGCTGGGCCGTCACGCCAAGCATCCCTGCCTACTCCTCTCCCCGGCTCCCTAATGGGAAACACCCCAGCATGGGACAGGGAGGCTCAGCCTTTTTAGGCTCATTGCCCAGTGGGAGCTTGGGCAGAGTCAGACCTGATGGGCACCCTGGGCCTTGGTCATCAGGGCCACAGCTGCAGGTGGGACGATCCGGTGCTTCCTGGACTCTTAGCCTGCATTAAGGCCATTAAAAGCATTTTGGCTTGATCCTGAAGATAGAGCCATGAAATTGTAGCTGAAATGAGGCAGAAAATGATGGGCCAGAGGTTCCCTTTTCTGTAATCTCTTTATTCAAGCTCAATTTGGTGTCCAAACACACCCCGATGCAAAGCCTGCATTTTGTCAAAGAGATTTAGAAGGGCAAGATATGAGATTATGCAATTTCACATTCAGAAGCATGTGCATAAATCTGCATATCATATGCATCTATTACAATGGATCACAAGTTGCATAATCAACTCAAAACAATTGGTTTTTATTTTCCTGCATTTTAAAATTTATTTCCTACAAATGACATGAATCCTATTACCTAGTAGCATTGTAGGATTCAACAATGGAAGTGCACTGTTGACTGGACTGAGAGTTGATGGAAAGCTCCTCGGGGAAGGAAACTATGGGATGCAAGAGTGGGAGGGTCCAAAGGTTAACACGTACATTTTACTCTGTGTCTGCACCAAACCCCTTTCCTGCCCAGAGCTAAGAGGCAGGACAGGAGTCTCAGCACCATGAGGGACTTTGGCAGGACTCTGGGTTGATTATCCTTTCTGTGCCTCAGTACCCTCATCTGTAAAATGGGCATAATTTGAACATTTGTCTCCTTTCTGCCTATAATGAAATTTACCATGTTTGTCAGCCAAGTT